GATCCTCCTTCAAACCCTGGTAGGAATATTGGGTAAGACTGTCATTTGCACCCGTCTTGCACGTCCTCCTCAGGGATACAGAGGTTTTAAATCAGCCATCCTCTCATCACTCCTCTCCTTTCCGCAAGGGGGGAACGCCAAATACTGGAGAAGATCAAGAGATGGGGGGGTGTTTTCATGCAAAAGAAGGCTCTCTTAAAAAGATACCCGTAGGGCTCTGCTGGGCAGCTTTCCCTTCCCTTGCATCATGCCTGGCAGAAAGCGAGAGTCCCCAGGTTAAGAATAGCCTGAGCCAGATGGGAGAGTGTGTGAGCGAGGGGGGGGGGGGGGGGGGGGACAGAGGGGAAGGATAGAGGATGGCAAAAAAAAGTGCGGGCCCTGCAGTAAGCTATTCCAAGCGCCTTTGTGGGGTTGCCATTTTTCATTCTCTCCCGCTCTCCTTTGAGGGGATTTTCTATTCCTCTCCGTCTGTCCGTGTCCCCGTTTCTTCCCCTCATTCTTTTCTTTATTTTATTTTGTGATGTTCTTTTCTTTGCGTGCCGTGGTTCCTTCAGGCACTATGGTTCTTTTTTATCTTGCCAAGTTTGTTGAGCCAGGCCTCAATCTCTCTCCGTGGCATCTCACTTCTGTATTTCTCTATACATCCATTACCCCCTCTTTCTCACTCTCCATTTCCACTGACTTCTTCTCCCCCCTTAAGCCCAATTTCACTCATCGTGTTTGCCTCTCGTCTTCTCTACACCCTCTTCACTTCCTGCGTCTCAATCTCTCTGATCAAGAGCCATGGTTGCGGTTTCTCTTTCCCTTCTTCCCTCCTCCTCCTCCTCTTCTTACTGTCTTTGTGTGCCATCTTTCTCCCTCCCAGCTGGTTAAAGACAGTGTTCACTCAGGATCCTTCGGATGCTCCTGAATCGATGGTGTGGTTATTTTAGCTCCTCTCCCTGCGGCCATCAGACCTTGTGTGTGTCTGTGTGAGTCTCAAATGACATTCTCACTAAGCCAGCTACATTTGAAAGGCAGTTAATGTGTGAAAACGATGTGTGTTCACACACTACTGTTTTCAAGTCTTTCCGCTCAAACACCTAAACCAAAGGAAAGTTGCTAAATCTCTTCTTCTTTGTTGGTGGTGAAACAGCAGAACTCTCAGCCAACCTGATGAGGGGCGATACAAACTGCATCTACCATCAGTCGAGCATGTTCTAATACAGCCTAATTTCCTAAGATATTTGATAACTGACAACATAATCAAAGACGTCAAATATGTTCTTTCAGAATTTGTGTCCTTTGTGGAGTTTACTAGAGTCCAAAAGTCTGAGTAGGCGGAATTGTGTTATGACATTAAATAGTGAAGAAAAAATGAAGAACCTAAGAATATTATTTTCTTTACCTCCGCCAAGGAGGTTATTTTTTCGGTTTGGTATGTTGGTTTGTTTGTCAGGAAGAGTAGGAAGACTTCTGGCCTGATCTTCATGAAACTTGGTTACATTTTGATGCTAATCATACGGTGCATAAACCCATAAACTTAAGCAAAAAATGACCTCCTGCTTTGTTATTATGACCCACAAGAGATAGATATATGTGTGTGGACCTTTTTGTATTTATATTTTTGAGTTCTCAGCTTTTATAGAGAAGTTTCAACTGGTGAGGCAGGCTTTCATACGATAAATATTTCTGAGTACAACGGGTTGGACAGAGATATAAAAGACTGGACAGGTTCGAAGCATCAGCACAGAGGTGACATGTTTGTTATTTGTTGAGTTTTTCCCCCCAAAATATAATTAAAAAAAAATATATTGTCCAGTGTATGTTAATACAGTAAATGGAGCAGCAGTAGCTCAGATTGTAGGGATTTGGCTTGGGTACTGAAGGGTCTCCGGTTCAATTCCTGATCGGACCTGAAATAAAAAGTGTTGACTGGTAGCTGAGGAGGTGGCGGTTCACCTCCTGATCACTGCCGAGGTGCCCTTGAGCAAAGTACCTCCAAAGCTTTGACCAAAACTGGCAGTGTCTTTGCTCTGACACCACTCCATAACAAAAATGCATGTGTGTATTCAAACGTGAATGTTTATAGGTCCTGTGCATCTGTATTTCTACCTATGTGAACAGTTACTACTGGATGAAATGTCACTTAAATCAGTGGTTCTCAACTGGTCAGGCCTCGGGACCCACTTTTTTCCTTTGTCAATAAATCGGGACCCAACATTTTGAACCACTCAAATCTATTCAACAAAAAATCGTGCAGTAATTGCTTTGCATAGTATGCTTTTCAGCATACAATATTAATGAAAGTGAAGTACAGGGCATATATCCCTTATATCCCTCCACAGAACTAAAGTATGCTTTTAATAAGGTTTCATGAGATGATGGAATCAAAGCTGAACTGTATAACATAAAAAGGCACACATGCTGAAAACCCAACCCCAGTATGGGGGTCTGGGGGGATTCTCCCCCAGGAGATTTTTTGAAATACTAACATATAAATACGCATTCTGGTACACTCTGAGAAGAAAATAAATAAATCTATTTCTACCCGACATATTAATAATATGTTATGCCATTGTTTGTTTTTCACTTTGTTCTGAAGCTGAACTTGCTGCTCCTCACAGAGAGAAGAGTCAAGAGGAGAGAGTCTGTGTGAATTACTTTAAATTGTGGGTAAGGGTAGATAGGGGGTCATATTTCATTATGTGTTCATTTGTATCTGAAGTTGTACCCATGGATGTATAAAGAATAGTTATACTGCAAAGTTATTCTCCGTGGGGACTTCCGGCAACAATCTTGATTCTGATTGGCCAGAAGACTCGAAAAAACATCAGCAAAGATGTTTTATTGAGAAGATGATCACTACGTGACAGAAGTTTTCAAAACTGTTTATGGTCTCCGGTACTTCCAGTCCAACGCCTACTGCATGCACAGCGTTAGAAAATCGGGCCTTCAAAATAACAGTTTGACTTTGCGACCCACCAGTTGAGAACCACTGACATAAATCACTATTTCATAATCAAAATGTTTTTTAAGTCAATGACAAGACCGTATTGCGTGATCGGTTATACTTACATTTAAAACACTGCTCATAGCTATAAAGCAACTGCTTTATAGCACCTGACGGTCACAGAAGGCTTATGCCATCTTTTTAACAAAGCTCCCTTCTTTTTTTCTGTCCAAACTAAAACTCTAGGCAGACATTTTAAAATCCATTTACTTTGACGAATGTCTTCAAACGGCTTACTGTGAGTCAAGGGCAGAATGGAAAAATGTAGTGTATTTCCATGCTGGCTTAGTGTGGATGTACAATCAGCCTGTATCTAGCATGTTGTACATGGGAGTGTCATGTGTCTGGACACATGTAATGCTTCTCTGTAGTCATGTGCTTTTGTGTGAGCCATGTAGTGTTCTGCGAGGTCACACACAGATGAGAACAGATTCCAGTTCAATCCATTAGAGATTTAAAGGGGAACAACAGTGGAGACAAAGAGCCCTGAGCTCCTTAGCCTCAGTCATGTTGGGACACCCAAAGAGCCCCTTTGTCCTTGTGATGTCACAACCAGCAGCAACACATTTTCACATTTTGCTCATTTTTCAGCACTTTAAAATTAAATCAGGATATGGGCTGTGACTGCCGAGCGACAATTTCTCTGGACCGTCTGATAGCCTTTCCTTCTTCCCAGGGAATAGAGGGGAATATCTCTCAATTGAATAATCACGTTTGTTATTCCTGCCGTGTAGCACGGGGGAATCAATATTAAATCAAATTAATATCTCTCCTCCACGGCCCGAAAAAAGGAAAACGGCTGTGAGATCCGGCGCTCTCGTGACATCAGTCAAGTGAGAAATCTAGAGTTGCTTTGAAGCCAACAAACCATGTGGGGAATGAATGATAAGGGTCTCTTGTAGCATAGCAGCTATTACTAACTCAGTGCCCTTGAGCAAGTCACTTTACCTGCTGCTGCTCCAGATGATCCACACTAGAAGCAGATTTCTAAGGGTTTTAATGCTGCATTTAAAAGAATGTGAATAAAAAATGTGGTAAGAAAACAGGCTAAATAGGCAACAACAAAGTAACAATCCTACACAGGTATTACTTGTCAATAATTTAAGATTCGAATAGACAGTCTGCTTCATCTTGATAGCCAGGGTGTGGTTTGACGTTATTTTTTAAAGATTCAAGGATTCACTGATTCATAGACTTTATTTCCATATGCACCATATGACTTAGTTTTTTATACCGACCTGGAAGTTAGCATCGCAAAAGCTCTCTTCGCTTTTTAATGACCAGTTTTATACGTTTATAGTTATCATTTTATAATGTGATTCTTCATATCTTAATGTTTTTCATTATTTGTATAGCACTTTGAATTGCCTTGTGTTGAAAGGTGCCTTGCCCTTCCTTTAAACAATGTTCTCTACTTCGTATGACATTACCATTTGTTATACAAATAGAGCGTGTTTGATTTCATTTTTTTCTTTATTATGTAGAATTGTTGCTTGTTTAACTTTGTACAGGAACTCTGTGTTGTGATATATGTATATTATATGAAGGTTAAAGGCTGTATTTTATGTTGTTTAGAGATTAAACAAAAATATTGTGCGAAACAAAATCCACTTTTATACAAAAAAAGGTAAAATAATGTCTATTTTCAACTACATCTTGATTTCCCTTTTCAATTGTAAGCTATGTGTATTTAGATTTGTAATTCTTAGATCGTATTTGTAGTTTTTTTGTGGCTTTTCTATAGGGTGAACAAAAGTTGCCTAGCATAATGTGAACATTATTAGTGACAGCAATAAAATGAAGTTGACTTCTTACCATGGCCTCGCAAAGAGCATGTGTTCAAGCACTTCAAATAAGTATTTACCCTTTCCGAAACAATGGCATCTATCGTGAAATTAAATATTGAACACTTTATTACAGAATTGGTTTTTCAGAATGCCTTCATGTGTCGTCCTCGGCTTGTTATCCTTAACCTTCTCTCCTGTTTTCTCTCCTCTCCTCTCCACAGTGCAACAATGACTATGCTCCAGTGTGCGGCTCCAACAATCAGAACTACCAGAACGAGTGTTTCCTGCGCAGGGATGCCTGCAAGCAGCAGTCTGAAGTACTCATTATGTCAGAGGGCGCCTGTCCTGCTGGTATGTACATTTACATTATGGCGCCTACACAGATTTATAAAGATGCAGAGACACACACACACACACACACACACACACACACACACACACACACACACACACAGAGGAGCACTGACACTAACATTCCCCTGCAGTGAACACAACATATACATGCGAGTGAGCGTGCTTGAAATGTTATCCTATCTGAACATTGTATATACAGTAGTTCAATTTTCAGGCTTAATTATTATAATGATCAATACACGCAAATGCTTCCAGTTGATGGGGTTCAGTAGTAATTATAGAGTGGTGCATTACTTGAAAGGACTAAAACAAAATGATGAAAAAATTGCTAGAGGTGACAGACTGATGTAATGTTCTCTAGTTTATTGTAACAAGCACCACTACAATGACAGTGACATCCATTGAGCGGGAAGATTTCATCACCACACTATGTCCCCAACAGAAACCTGCATTGCTGTTAAACAAGTTAATTATACACTTTATTTAAACACAAAGTAGAAGAAAGCTTGACGGCGATGACCTTTCGTTGTGTAATGTATAAATATGTGTCAAAATATACAACAGAAATACTTGGCGAATTGTCATAGTTAGTTACTGTAACACTGTTGCCAAGAGGCATGTTCAGCAAAGCGGAAAATTGAATGGCTGAATCACACATCGTCTTGATGGCCACTACATTCTTTTTCTGGGATATGTGGACATTTATTTAGCTTTTGTGTTCTTCATGAGACCCTGTTAAACCAATTCTTTAGAATGCATCATGGGCCATCAGATCAGAGGTGGACAGCAGGAAATACAAGTGTAATTTTAACCAAACACAATCACGAGTACCTCTCGCCAAGGTGGCATTTGGCCAGACATCTTTTGTTGTGTAGTTGAAAGAAAGTATCAAAGCTTCAGTAACAGATTTGACAGTATGTGTAAGATGTTTATGTTGTGTGCGGCAGAAATATTGAAATGATTATTTAACTAATTAGCATGTCCTGTCTAGCGTTGAGTCTGCAGTGAGTCCAATTTAAGGGGACAAAAAGTAGAGCTATCCCAAGAAATTCTCAATCATGTAAAAAGGTTGAGGGTCTGTAAACATTTTATTAGTTTGTTAATTGGATTTAATCTGTATTGGCAGATATTTGAAAAGGACTAATTGTTTCGTCCTCGTTTGGTGTGCCGGTCAGGTATGCACCGTTACATCTGGTGCAGGGAATACCTCAATATCGATATTGTGACAATATTGTAGGGTTCTCTGTTAATGCTTTCACAAAGTACTTACACAATACCATCGGTACTGTTTATATAATAACGAATTTGGTAAATGCAAATACAGAACATTTACAACATGGTAAGTTCAGAAAGGGTCATCACTTTACTGTAATGCAGCCCTTGAAACCAGAAAAACACAACACTTCCAATATTAAAGTTTTAGACCATACCGTGTCTCATATCTCTAAATCAATACAACACAGATATATTGCCAAGCTCTATTTATAACGCATTTTTCAAAACAGCAACAGATTTGGTCTTGGAAATTGAAATATTGTACATCTTTATTTGCATATAGAGATAGGTAGTGAAATCTTATCACGAGTGATCACTGGGGACCCTTTTTTTTTTATTCCTGATGCTAACTGACGTACAAAGAGCTTTTCATCGGATCATTCAACATGTATGTTGATGCTAAGGTTCCAGAGAATACAGTTTATGGTGAAAGCACTGACATTTCTAATCTGTGATGCTTTCTGTTTGTGGTAGAAGTGGCTTTCAACGTGACTGATTCTGTGAAGTCTTTAATTAAATCTGTAAACACTTTGATGTAATCATTTAGAATATTTGTTTTACAAGCAGGATAAAACTTTTCCTGTAACAAAACAATACTCCACTCAGGCAATCCCTCTCTGCTTCACATCAATGAGCCTTTTTTTTGATATTTTAGTAACTAAGAGCAAAGTTTCCTTTCTTATACCTTTCCAATTGCTTTCATCTTTCTTTCGGCTGGAAAGAAAAAGCACTCTGTGTAATTATCCAATGTAATTGGAATTACTGTTTGCTGACATAGTTTGCTGGAGTTTAAGCAGCTGAGTAGGGGTCTTCAGTCGCAAAAGGTCAAGCACTTCATTAGCCGTGTTACGGAGACCGGGAGTGCTGATCGGAGTACGCAGTTCCATCAAGTTAATGTTAATCATAAAAAAGTTATATGAAATAAATCAATGAATTAAAATCCTCATCAAATGAATGCTTTGTCATCCTGATGACTTGGCATAAGGCGGTACTGTTTTAATTAAGACATTAATTTTTTTCACAAAAGCTGTTGAGTGAACTCTTCTAATCTAATGACATATAATACACGTTTCTATTTACAAGCAGTCTTTTTCAAACAAAAGCAGGCGGTTTGTATCCCATTAAAACATGTGTAATTAGGTTTGGCCTATGTAATGTGTTAATTCCAATGAGGAAAAATGAAATGGATATACTTCGGAAAAAGCATTCCCTCGCATCCACAAAGGAATTCTTTCTGAATCGACCAATTACTGAGTCATGTTCAGAGTAATTCGATTAGTTGTGAATGAGTGAATCCACTGGCAGGGCGATGTTGACTGTTTCTGAGGAATATGTGAATCACTGCTGAGGGTAAGGTAGTACTGCTGGCTTGAGTTGAGCAGTCACTGAGTCAGTTACCCTCGGTTACAGGCAGCAGGCAGAAGTCCATTAAAAAGCCCTTGAATGGGCGCAGCACTGCAGCAACAGTAGTGCTGTTTGTCTGAGTGCCGGGTGGCAGTACTGTGTACAGTCACATTACAAGTCCAGCCTTTTGTGGCCTGTATGTATCAAGACATGTGATATTGTAAGCCTGTGTGTGTGTGTGTGTGTGTGTGTGTGTGTGTGTGTGTGTGTGTGTGTGTGTGTGTGTGTGTGTGTGTGTGTGTGTGTGTGTGTGTGTGTGTGTGTGTGTGTGTGTGTGTGTGTAGTGTGTGTGTGTGTGTGTGTGTGTGTGTGTGTGGTGTGTGTGTGTGTGTGTGTGTGTGTGTGTGTGTGTGTGTGTGTGTGTGTGTGTGTGTGTTATATATATATGGATTTGTGTTTCTTTTCAAAGCATAGAGATGCCTTTCTCTCAGTAACAAGCAGTGCTTTTGAGAAATGAATGCCGGGTTCAAACAACGATGTGTTTGTGGTGAAGTCTTCACACAATTAGACCGTGACAGTGGTTCTACAGTATATTCTTTATTCAGGGTCAAATGTGACACTCAGACGTACACTTTATTCTGGTAATAAGCTAGAACAAGGCCACAGTTAACAATGTTTGTTTCAGAGGATAGTCATTTACTAATTTAACAGAATAGCACTTTGGTTTGAATTTTGAATAAAACATTTGGTTAATTTTGTGACTTGAATTCATTAGTAATTACTCGTGTTACATTTGGATGGGCAACAGTGTCAAATTGGTTGTGACACAGTGAAAATAAATTGTTGTGTTCAACTTAATTATATGTAACCTTGAGAAAAACAAATGATGAAAGACTGAAAAATATGTGTTTAGAGTAATTAATGTTAAATGTAATATTAACGCAGCATTGGCCCAGAAAAATAAAAATAAACTTAATGAAAGACTATTTTAACTGATAGAAAAACGGTGTGTTGCCTTTGGAATAAAACAACAACTTTGGGATTTTTATGTTCAAACTTCATAGAGGAAAGAAGGCATAAACCTTGTCTTCATTTGGAATTTAATCCAATTTTAATCCACTCATTGCCAGTTGGTCAATTACCAACATTATGTCACGGACCCCTGCGTCGAATACTGACACACAAGTTACGCTTTTGCATCTTTTTGAGACAAATCAGGCTCTCAACTACCTCCAATGTAAAAACATCCACAAGAGGCTCAGAGCAACTCCTCAAGAAATCCTTTCTTCATTCTGCAGCTGGGAAACGTACTAATGTGTTGATGTAGTAAAAAAGAGCAACAAAGTCCAAGTAGGTAGGTATTTGGGATAGAGGGGTGGGCCAAATAAACGCATGTCTTGTACCCAGGAGAGCGCTGCTCGTGTTCGGTAAAAAACCAAAGGTCAACAAGACTTACTGTATCAGATTTAATGATTTGGATCCTTGAGGGTAATAGAGAATAATGGTTTCATGCTTAGGGCTTCACAATATGTTAAAAAGGTAAGCCAATGGTTTCTGGCCGAGCATCCATGTGACAAGTTCAAAATGACAACAAATTGGTCTCCTGGTTAGAAATCATATTTCGCAAAGACTGTGGCTGCTTCCAAGTGCCAACATACACACTTTGCAGCAGTATCTCAGCCTGTAAATACATGCCAGAGGTGCCAATTCCTTTGAGGATGTGCCCTTGAGCAAGGCACCGATCTCCCACAATGCTCCTGGGGTGCTGAATAGTAGCTGCACACTGCTCCAGAGTCAGAGTCTGTGTACAACAATACAAATCCTAATTTGATGCAGTATCCTATACAGATTGTCCTCTCAAACAGGTTTTGCACTTAAGTGACCGGTAATAATACGAACAGTAAATTATATAGTACGTGTTCTGACGCATGTCAATCAAACTGCCACTTTGGAATGTCACTGCTAATTAAACTGAACAAATTGACTTCGCTCTGGTGACTGTGAAGGACAGACTGTATGATTCAACAACTCATCACCATTCAGGGAGTCCTTGTGAGGACAGCTTCTGCATTCATTATTTTTCTCCACTTACTTATTGAGATTCCTTTCCTTCTATCATCAGTAGTAACTTTCATAATGTGACCATTGTTAGGTTCTGTTTGTAGTGGCCACTAAAAGGTCCAAACAGGTGCAAACAGCTCTAGGAAGTGGACAGGTATGACTGGAGAACTCAGCAATAATTAAAACAATACTATTTAAAAAATAATTTTAAGAATCTGAAAATAACACAAAACATGTAAACTTTTCTCATTGAAATACAGTTCTCATTTTAGTTTGAAGGCTATCATGACTTAAAAAAGTAATGTATTAAGTAAAAA